GTACAGGAAAACACGGTGCTGGCTACATCTTGATAAGAAGGCAACATGAAGTGGGCTGTGTCATTGGACGTGGCTGAGCATACATAAGACCTCAAAGCCCACCTCCACATTGACACACTCCCTCAAACAAGGTAATACTTACTCCAACAAAGCCATGCCTTCAAGTAGTGACAGTCTCTATGAACTTATTCGGGCCAATTACTTTCAAACTACCTCAACTATAATGTGGATTATAATTTGTTAGAAATGATTACACCACACACACACATACAAATATGCAGTTGGTTTTATTCTATTTTAGGTTTATATTATTAAAATTCTCTCACTTTGTTAGGTAAAAATTTCAAATTAGTATCAAGTGGTACTAGAATTCTTATTTTTCAGGATTATAAATACCCTTTAATTTCATGTTGGCAAATCTTTAGGAAATAAAAATACATGAAGCCTATTTCAAATTATCTCAAATACAGCCAAATGCATGAAAAAGAGTCTAAGTCCAAGATTGCCAGGCAAAACTTGGGTGCACAGGGGTGTGAGGAGGTGGATGTAAGGGGAGATAGGTAGAGAGAAGGGAGAAGGGGAGGATTTGGGAGAGCTTGGGGGAATGGGATGAGTGGAATGGAGGAAGTGTGGATAGGGGAGCAGAAAAGTAAGTATCTTAATTTAAGGCAGCCATTTTAGGGTTTGCAAGAGACTTGACCCTTGAGGGGTTTCCAGGTCCAAGGAGAGGTTCCCAGATTGTTCCTTGGGCAGCAGAGGAGAGGGTGTCTGAACTGGCCTTGTCCCATAGCCACACTAATGAACATCTTGCATATCACCATACAACTTTCATCTGGCGATGGATGGAGATAGAGACAGAGACCCACATTGGAACACTGGACTTAACTCCCTAGGTCCAAATGAGGAGTAGAAGGAGGGGGAACATGAGCAAGAAAGTCAGGACCATGAGAAGTGCCTCCACCCACTGAAACAGTGGGACTGATCTAATGGGAGCTCACCACGGCCAGCTGGACTGGGAGTGATGGAGCATGTGATCAAACTGGACACTCTGAATGTGGCTGGCAATGAAGGCTGAAAGAGAAGTCAAGGACAATGACACTGGGTTTTGATTCTACTGCATGGACTGACTTTGTGGGAGCCTGGTTTGTTTGGATGCTCACCTTTATATACCTGGATGGAGGGGGGAGGACCTTGGACGTCCCATGGGGCAGGGAACCCTGACTGCTCTTAGGATTAGAGAGGAAGGGGGAGGTGCAGGTGCGGAGGGGGAGGAAAAAGGGAGGTGGGGAGGAGGTGCAAATTTTTAATAAATAAATAAATAATGAAAAAAGAAAAAGAGTCTAAGTCATCTCTGCCAAAACTAGAGGTATTTGTTGAGAAAATAGCAACATAAATAAAGGATTGAGAACACTTGCACATAGATTGGAAAAGTCAACACTGTCAAAATTTTTATTTAGTCATGTACACAGTCTATGCCCCTTTGTTGTAATGAAGTCCAAACTATTTGGGGCTTTTATAGCCTTTTCCCTTGGTCACTCTATTTTAATACTTGCAAATGCATCCCCACATTTAGTAGATGCTGTTGCTTGTCACAGTTTTAACTTTTCAGTCTGTTTAATCTCTGTGACTTTTTTTAACCTTTCATTTTATCTATTCTTTCTGTCTTTGACATCATGCATCTCCATCCCATTTATTTCCCTGTCCCTTCATATTCACCTAATGCCCTTGCAACCTCCTCCCAAAAATAAAATAAAATAGAATTTAAGAGAAAAAAAAGAAAAGAAAAGGGGGGAATCAATCTCATCATGGAAGCTGTAGTGTGACACAATAAATGCTTTTATGCACATGTCTGCACTTGGAAGTGTGCATTAAAGAGTCATTGGTCTGGTTTGAGGCCTCTGGTTTCTGTTACCCAGCAAAGCTGGGCCCTCACTGGAACTCCTCTTGGATGTCCTGTTGTTGTCCTGTGTTGTGAAGATCCTACAGCTTTGAGTCTTCAGGAACAGTCCCTTCATGTTCTCCAACAGGTCACAGATGGGGTAGATGTTAGGGTGGGCCAACTCAAAACCCTGGTTCTGGTCCTGGGTAGTAGCAGAGTTGGTCATTTCACCAGCTCTCCCTTGTCCTCAACACCAAGGTGAGCTCTCCTGCATTGTCTTGGCTACTTCACACCTTGCAATGACAAGCAAAGGGAAAGGACAGTACTCCTACTTTCATGCCCTTAGGGTCAGTTCTCTGGTGTGGGAGGTCCTTCTGTCTATGTGCTGCTTTTATTGGTTAATGAATAAAGAAATGTTTTGAGCCTATGGCAAGAGCAGAACAGTACTAGGTGGGAAACGCTAGGCTGTATGCTGAGAGACAGGGGGCAGAGTCAGAGAGAAGTCTTAGAGCCACCATCAGAGACAGATGTGCTAAAGCTTTGCTGGTAGGCCACGACCTTGTGGTGATGCACAGATTAATAGAGATGGGTTAAATTAATATGTAAGAGTTAGCCAATAAGAAGCTAAATCTACTGGACCAAACATTGATTTAAATAAGACAGTTTCTGTGTAATTATTTCGGGGCTAAGTGGCCAACAACAAACAAGCAGCTCTCTCTCCCTGCTACAGTTCTCCCACACCTACTCTTTCAAGGTCAGCTCTACTGTATTGCCCAGGCATGGTGTAGGGGTCACTCTCCCAAGTGCTGCAGCTGACGAGAGGCAGGAACAGCCCTTCCCCTTTTCATGATCTCAGGGCCAACTCTCCCATCTGTCTGAGTTGATGGGTGGATGGGTGTTAGTGGATTAGGGGATGGGAGGATGGGGGAGAGCATCTCTTTCCAGCCCGTGCCACCACATGACAGATAAGTAATGGAAAGAGATCTCCCATACTCACAAAGGGCTAGCTCACCCATACCTCCTCCAACAGGGTTGGGTCTCCTGTGCTGCTCAGGTGCAGGTCCTGCCTTCCCTTGTGCTGCAGCTGGTGAGGGGTTCAAGGCAGGTCTCCCATTCATATGACCTCGGAGCCAGATCTTCCACCTGCCTCAAGTGCTGATGGACAGGGGTGAGAAAGGCACCTCTCCCCAACCCATGCTGCTCTGAGGTTACTTTTACATATTATCCATGTCATCTCCATCAAATATGTCACTAGGTTTCTATTGGGAATGGTTCATTTCTTTAAAAAAATAATGAAAATGTTAAAAAAATAAATATCATCATATTCTTCTCTACTTTTTCATCTTTCAGTAGGTTTTTGCATAAGTTTCTAATAGCTTTTCTTGAATTTACTTCTAAATATTTTTGTCCTATTCATGCTGTAAGTACAGTTTTCCATCTATTATATCTCCTTAACTAGTTACTATTTGTGTAAGTCTCTATTATTTGATTTGGTTCATATAATTTCATTAATTTGCTAACTTATTGAAGTATGTCTGCTGATTTTAAGTTTATGACTGGCTTAGTTGGTTGTTTAAATGTGGTTGGTGGTGTACAGATACTTTTATTTTTCTATTTGTATCTTTATAACCACTTATTCTAGATACGTTATATTTGGCTGACACCACCAGAAACATGCTAATGAGGTGCAAAGAGAATTAATATCTGACCCAATTTCCTAGTCCTACTGGAAGTGACCAAGGCATGAAATTGTCATCAAGACCCTGACTGGGCTAGTGTCATTTGAAAGTTTGATTTGGTCTACAGAGTCCTTGCAAAGAAGGCTTGCTCGTTACATAGATGATGGAAGCAGGCGTAAATCCTAGAAGACTGACCTTAAGTCTTTCTGCCTTACACAGTCTGCTCAGCAGAGCTGCTAATGGTGCTCTACCTAGGTTCTCCCAGATCAACCGTGGTGATAGGATAGTGTCAAGTGCTGTCTGATGGTCTAGTCCAAGAAGTGAGATACTCTTCTTCTTCTCAGTTGCTTTGACCATACTTATCAAATCTGGATGTAACATGGAAGGAAATTTCCCAGTGCAGCATTGGTGCAGATCTTGTCATTTGTCACAAAACATACTCAACTTTGAGAGCACATACTAAAATCAAATTGTCTATAATTTTTGCAGATTATTTCTTATCAATGGTGTAGATGTGGAAAAGGTCTTTTGATAAAGTTCAACTTCTTATGCCAATTCAAACCTTTGATAAATCAGAAATATCAGGAGCACACGTCAATATAATACATGGTTTAATACATGACAAACCTACAGCCAAAATTGTCGAAGGAGCAATAACAGTAAGTGGAGATAAATTGACATCGTTTCCTCTAACATCAGGGATGGGACAAGGGTCTCTGCTACTTAATGTAGTGCTTGAAGTCTTAGAGATAGGTCAAGTAAAATGAATAAAAGTTTTGTGCTTAGAAAAGAAATAAGTCGGGGCTGGAGAGATGGCTCAGAGGGTAAGAGCATTGCCTGCTCTTCCAAAGGTCCTGAGTTCAATTCCCAGCAACCACATGGTGGCTCACAACCATCTGTAATGGGGTCTGGTGCCCTCTTCTGGTCTGCAGGCACACAGACAGACAGAATATTGTATACATAATAAATAAATAAATAAATATTTTTAAAAAAAAGAAAAGAAAAGAAAAGAAATAAGTCAAATCATGTTCGTTTGCAGATGGCATGCTTCTGTTCTTAAAAGACACTAAAAATATTATCAGAAAATTCTTGAATGTAAGAAACATCTTCAACATTCAACAGGACACAAAATCAAAAAAGATTCAGTAGCTTTTCTAAATATTCATAAAGAAATTGTGATTTCTTGGGAAATCAGAAAAACAAACCTATTAGCAATAGTTTGAAAAAACAAAAATAGAAATAAACCTAAGTATATGTATGACTTCTATAATAAAAACCTTAAAATATGAAGAACTTATGAATAAGATAGGACATGAAAAGACCCACTCCCAGGGTCATGGTTGACTAGAATTACTCTCATGAAGTGATTGTATCTCTCAAACTCATCTCCTGGTTCAATTCAGTTGTGATATAAACACTAAAACCACATGGATACATATGACTTGGTTTGGAATAAATTTTATTCTTTTTCCAAGAAAACTTTACAAGAATGTGGATTAAATTATATTGCATATTGAGCATGCACTAAATCAAAATAGTTATGAAAACTCTCTACCTTGATTCATCCTAATTTTATGCACATGTGTGAAAAATCCAACAAGCATAAAATATTTGAGTTCAAATGTATGAAAATGATAGCATGCAGAAACATTCTACCATCTCCAGATGAAAAGGTAGTAACACTGTGAGAGGTAAGTAATGTTGAACTAATCCTGGACCTCTCTTGTCTATACCCTGTGCCTTAAGAATTCTTTAAATAAGCAGTTGCTTACAGATGAAATAGTTTTTATTTTTACAGGGTTCAATGAAAATAGTTTTGCTTGGGATATATGCAATGCAGTTCTTTGTCTTGTTGTATGAGAACTCTGGAAATCTATAAAAAAGAAAAAAGTTAACATTTGAAAAACAATAAGGATGCTTAAGGTTATTTTTATCAGCTCAGAATGTGCAATAACATTTGTTGAGAAACTTACTAACCAAGTGATTTGGGTGTTTGTGTATTTGGTATTGTTTTGTTGCCTTCCAGCAAACTTTCACAGCTCTGAAGTACAACATTGCATAAAACTCAGTTGATTCCTCATTGGCCACTAGCACTAAGAGCAGAGAATGGATTCTAGGTGTGGTTTTGTGATTTGTTTCTTTGTTGTCTTTTAACCTTTGTCACAAATGTCTGGGCTACTTTTTTGTCTGTTTGTTTATTTTGTTTTGTTTTATTTTGAGACAAGGTCTTGGGACACAGCTTTAGCTGACCTGGAACTCACAGAGCAGGCCAGCCTGGAGTTCAAAGACATATACTTGCTGGCATTAAAGATGTGTACCACCATATCTGGCCAGAAATGTTTTTTGATAATATGTTGATCTTCCTTCCCTATTTGCTTAAGAAGTATGACAAAAGAAAAAGAACCAAAGCAAAAGCAGAAGAGGCATATATAGATGCTGAGACACATTAGCACATACAGAAAATCCAGAAAACAAGGTGGTAAACATAATATATACACAAAAAATCTGAAAGGTTAGAAAAAAGTACCCTGACAAGACAAAATGAAACAAACAAACAACAGCAACAAAATCTCTCAACCACTGAACTCATTATGTGTTGTTTTGTGTTGGTCAACTACTACTAGGCATTAGATCTGCTCTTAAGTGTGGTTTGTATAGATTTTTTTTTTGAGAAGGGGCAAGGATCTGCAAGGAGTTGAGGGAAGGAAAACTGCAATAAGATTACACTGCACGAGAGAAAATCTATGAGCTGACCTAAGCTAAGGGGAAAGAGCATAAACTTAGTCACTGTGTGAGTCTTTAGATTTCATGCTTGTGAATGAGAGTGACATCCAAGAAAAAAACACTTTTACAGAAAATAGTTGTTGAATATTTGAAGATGATAAGAAAAATAGTAGAATCCATGGTGTTCTCTGGGCATGACTGTATCTGAGACCATCTGAGCACGCATAGACACATCCGGTGTTTTCTATTATCTTACAGCAAGGAAAAGACAGCAAAGAAAATTTTCTTAGGGTCTCAGGTATCCAACTTCATGTTACCTGAACATGAACTTGAGTGTTATATGTAGAGCAATCCTGCTTGCCTTTGGCGTTTTTTTATATATTCTCAGACTCCACACAACATATTCGAACTTCTGAGTACCTGGCAGTGATTTTTCAGTACTCATAGCTAGAATAGATCCATAAAAATATGCCCCAAAAACCTTCCTCAATAGCCAGAAACTTACAAATCTTTTGAAAGGCTTGAGCCATCCTCCCATAGCCAGGCATCCCGTTCTTCATGATATTGCATTCCAATCCAGAAATAGTTTTGACTGGAGCTCATAAAATTCTGCTTAGAGTCAGAAAGAACAAGATAACCAAGTCTGAATGTACTCTGAGATCAACACCCATTTTAAAAGACATACAGAAAAAAAAACTCAAATTGAAATCTTTTTGAACTTCTGATTTGGGAGGCATAGTCACATGTTTTAAAATTTTTATTTACCTTTGTGGTAAATGACTCATGTGGAAAAACACTACAAAATCTTGCTTCATAAAACTTGAAAATTGTCATAAAGAGCATCAGACTGCATGGTGCATCAACCTGCCTTAGTAAGATCGATGATCAAATGCGACCCCAATGAGAACATCTTGAGAGATAACCCTCATACTTATAACCTCTTTAATCTGAACAGACCATGGAGAGTGTGAGAATTTCTTCATAAGAATTAAGTGATTTCCAAGAGAAGCCTGGTGATTCAGGCCTGTAATCCTTGGTGCTCAGGAGACTGAAGCAGAGTTTCACCTTGTTTGAGAGTTTAAAGGTAAGCCAGAGATATGTCCCTCTATCTCAAACACACAGTAAAACTTTTATTAATATTATTTTGTTTTATTACTTTAAAAAAATATCAATCCAAATTTCCACTTCCTCCTCTCCTCCCACTCCTCTTCCACTCCCTCCACACACCCTCCTCCCCACTCCCCTCCAATCTTAAGAGAGGGCAAGGCACCCCACCCTGTGCAAAGTCCAAAGCCCTCCCCACTACATCCAGGTTAGGAATATAGCACAGTGGTAGAGTATTTGTTTGGCATGTGTAAACATGTTTGGCATGTGTAAACCTAGGTTTACTCCTCTATGAAACACACGATAACAACATTCATAACCTAAGTGATTTTATGTTCATATGATCCACTATTGGTTCTATATTACGTTATAGAAAGATGGCAAAAAAATCGTGTAACACGTGAAAGAGATTAAGTATTCTGTTCCAATAAATAATAACTAAAAGTTTTTCAGGTGGTTTTCTTGGGAAAGTTAAAAGCCTACTAATTCTAGAAAAGTTTGGGGAGGTGTACATTAGCTCTTAATTTATTCAAAAATTACCCCCATACTACAAATCTTTGAAGGTTTTTTTTGTAGACTTTCTAAGAATATTTCAAGGTATAGCTGAGGATCTCAGATACCATCATAGTTTACTTCCATGATACTTCAATGAGAGTGCTCAGCTTATCTGGGCAGCACATGTTCATAGGTAAGAAAGAATGTAAGAAACAAGAGTGAAGTACATGCCATTTCATTTCTAGTTTTGAGATGAAGGAGACTGGAATTCTTAGCAGCACAGAAATCTCTGCTCTCTTCCCAAGATTTTTCTTCTTTGGAAATGAAGTAACAGTTACATTGATATCCAACCCACTTTTCTAAGCAAGCACAGCATTCAGAAACTAAAAGACAAAACATATCATTACAGATTCCAACTTCTTTAATGCTACTTGATATTCAAAAAATATTTGCTAAAAATTCATTTATTTCTTCAAATACTCCTTCAGAATATGTTATGCAAATCATATTTTGGGACTATCAATCCAAATACTCTGTTTCACGGGGAGGACATTCTAGAGGTATATTCAAAGTTAAATAATTTTCCATCCCTAGTTATGTTTAAAAGTAATTAGATGAGAAGGAAAAGGAAATCCAGCAGGTAGCAGAGAACAGGATGGAGTGGTAGTCAGAAGATGACTTTGAGGAGGTACCCACAGTTGAGCATTGACTAATAAGAAAAAAACTGGCTTACAGGGGAGTCCCCTACCAATTCCCTAAGTCAGAGAAGGATTCAGTACTTTGAAAGAATTCTTGTGTGTTCAAAAAATATGGATAAATAAATCAAATAGCTTGAAGACTGATGGAAAGATTATGGCTGACAGTGTGTCCTCAACATCTCTCTTCCTTTGTAATAAACATCATGACACAGTAAGCACTCGAATCTTCACTACATAAATCATACTAAATTAAAATAAGAGAAATGAACTGTATCATCAGAAAGTTACAAACTTGAGAAGCATTTGAAAAAGAGTATTAAAATAGAGTTGTGGGCAATTTCTTGAGTGTAAGTAATGTTTATAATTACAGAAATGCCTACGCTGTGTTCTGAATCACATAAGTTGAAGAGAGAAAAGAATTCTAAAGGAAAGGTTACAGGCAAACAAAAATGAGATTTGTCTACAATGTTTATTATTGTTTAATTCTGTTTATTAATTGTTCATGAAACATGTATCTGCCATTTCAGATTGTATCTCTCTTTTCATGAAATTTACAAAGATGTTTTGCTAGACATTATACCTGGAATCTTCCCCAGAGCCCATACATGGGAAAACTGGCACTCAACTTGGTGCAATGAGGCAGTCATACAGTCCATTAGATGTAGAATATAGTAGTTCTTTTTCAGAGTATATAAATAGGATTTGAATGGAGAGTGGAAACCCTCCTATTCATCTTCTTCCTCTCTTTGTTTTCTAGCCATTACATGAAAAACTCTGCACCCAAACATGCTTCCACCATGATGCATTGCCTTGGCCTAGGTACAAGACTGACAAGCTCAACCGACTACAGACCCAAACTTCTAAAACTATGAGGAAAAAGTGAATATCTTCTTTATGCAGTGCTTAAAGTACTTCTTAAGTAGACTAACACACAATTTAATGTGATTTTGTTCTCCTTAGACAGCAGCACAATACAATGAGACGGTTTTACTGAGGGCAACCATGCTATTGTACATGAGAGTGAACCAATCTGCCTTATCCTCTATTAATTATATTAGTGAAAAAATGGAACCTACCTTCTTTGCTGGAAGTTGGAGAAGGTGTTGGTTGAATATTCTCTATAGTAAATGCTGTAAGACATGATTAAAGATTAGTTTGACATGTATTTATAAAATAAAATATTATACATTAAAAAATTAAATATTCATTACTAAATTAGTTCGTTGCAATTTTGATTTTTTTCTATAGATTTGCATAGAAATACTTACAGTTTTTCATCAGAACTCCTAAAGTAACCATCAACAAAAGGCATTTTATTCCAAAGATCACAGACATCAACCTCCACAGATTTATCCTAGAAGCTATAGCAAAATATCAAACATATAGATTAATAACTAACAAATTAAAGTACGAACATAGAAAATGAAGTTCTTAAGAAAAGTAAGAACCCAAATCCTTCTTATGATGGCACAGATGTCTCTCCAGTGAAACACTGGGGAATGAAAACGTTGCTTCAGAACTCCACCCAATAGCAATCTTTTGATGTGATGTACCTTATTCTTTGATGAGGTTATTCGTGCATATTTTCTGCCTCATTAGAACCATTTACCACTGGCTCTTTAAATCGCAGTGAAATTTCTCTCTACAGTAAGAATAGATCAACAAGCAGTCATGGCGCTTAGTAGGTTTGCTAAATAGACAATACTTTTCCTTTCAGCAATATCATGGATTTAAAAAGTCTGCTTTAGAGAAATGAGAAAAATAAAGATTGATCACAATGTTATTTTCTTATGTCTCATAGGTGCCTGACAGAAATCTAACAGAATAATGTCAAGATCAGAGTATGTCATTTATCATATTCCCTCCATGTCAGGAGAATACCATTACTGAATGTGTTCTCTCCAAGTCTGAATGCAGACCACGCTCAGACTAGTAACTTGTAGAGGTCTGCAAGAAAACACTCTGGTGTGGTAAGAGGTTCCACACTGATGTATGAATTGAGGATCTGAGTTCAAGTCACAGCACTCTGAATTCTGATACAAAACTAACCTTTGACTTTCTGCTTTCTCAACAATACCATAACTCATATCCAAAGCCACTTGCTTATTGCCTGAAACATTTCCATATTAGATGACTCTCTCTTAACATTAGATTATTGTCAAAAAAAAAACTGCTGCCACTAACAACAGTACAAGGTTTCAATGAAGAAGCCACAACACAAAAAGCAAATTTATAAATTTATAAGTGTTGTGTCCTTAATACTTGGCATTCTTTATTCCTGTAGTAGAAACATGATGCTGATGAGTTAAACAGTTTAGTTTCAGTTTCATTCTGAATTTAACAAAAACCACACCCTAATTCAGAAAAAGTTTGCCGAAGGTTTAGCTTCATAAAGTCATGCTTAAATTCCAAAATGTGGAATCAAGAAAACAGTGAATGCAGAAACTTTAAAGCACGGGAAGCATAAAAAATATTCCAGGCTGATTATGTACTTCCTGTTTTATTTTCAATAAAGCCCGCTCTGAAATTATTCAATCTGTGAGTCATCATTTCCGGTTATTATTTTATCATTGCTATGACGGGGGCACACATACCTGCCATGAGATGTGATGCTCCAAGGCTGATTCAGAGAAGATGTGTTTATGCTTAAGAACAATGTGGATCTCAGAGTTCAGCAGGAAGCTAGGGAAGAGACATTAAGCATTAAAAGAGGAAGGGACATAGTGTGCTGCCGTGATGCTCTTGAATCCTCTGTTGGAGGTACACAGATGCAGAGTAGGATGAGCTGTAATGCCGCAAGCTCCCAGTGTGACCAAGGAGCCAGAACACAGGAAATTCTCTCTGTGACTTCGTCAAAAAACACTACAGCAAAAGGAGATGGGAGGTAACCTTTATCAGTGTGTGAACATCAAAGTTGTTTCTAAAAATCTGTCTAGAAAATAGAGGCAAAATGTACAAACCTATGGTAAATTCCCTTCGTATCATAAAATTCCACACAGACTTTCTACTCTTATAATAACAAATACTTATTGACTTTGTGTTCAACAAATTTTAAAGCACATATTATGTGCCAAAATATTTGGTTTTGATGGCTTAATAAAGAAGATACCAAATTTGATAGTGAGGAACCTAAGAGAGATAGTGTTAACTTGCCTAAGGCTACTTAAGCTTAGTAGTCAGTCCAAAGCTCACACACACAAAAAAAAAAATATTTAAAACCAAGCCCTACCTGTATTCGCACTTCCTAGGTTGACATTTCTCTCCTTTAGTACAGACTGGTTGGAATATCCATGTCTTATTCTGTGTTTCTGATCCCTGATGTGTTAACCCAGTCATAGCAGGCAAACTCAGAAAAAAATGAAAGCAGCATCCACTACCATTATGCTCTCTTGATCCCTCTCTCTCTCTTCCTCACTCCTTACCTCTCTCTTTCCCCAGATAGGTATTTTTAACCTTCCTTTTAATTCTTTCTAAACTACCAACTCTACTTGAGTCTGTTTCCTTTATGAACAGACAACTAAACTATTTTCACACTATGGCGCCCCTCCTACTCGACTCCACTCAAAACAGTCAACTGCCCCAATCATCTCAATTAAAAATTTGGTAAACTCTGGCCAAATAATAACTGAATGAACCCCTGTATGTCTGGTCTTTAGTTATTTATTTTTCTTAGAACTGCTAGAAACCTTGGCGCTCCCACAAATGACAATCCACAGTGCTGACTAATTATCATCAGGCTGACCTGTATGGACATATCTCAGAATTTAAGATAGTTCAGCAACACCGGCCTTAAGGCAAGAAAACATAGACACAGTTATTTGTCTCACTTCTCAGAATCACTTAACCATTGCAGGACCTACTTTAAATAACTGGTTAAAAGAATGGAGAATCTCAATTGTGTTCTGCTTCTTCTCCCTGTGTTCACAGTTCCCCCACCCCAATCCCTTATATATATTACAAATAAACTGTGTACCTAAAACTTTTCTCAGAACTTACAGAAACACCCAAACTGATGCTCAAAAGGTTGAGTTTCACTGTATCTGTTTCAGATAGTTATGCATTCTTCCAAATGCTCCATTTTCCTCCCTCTGCCTCCCCACTCTTTAGTCCACTGCCATTTCCAGAGAACTAATTAAAAAATAAATTCTGATATTAATACCATCTTTACAACTTGAGGAAAGAGGTGTGAAAAGGAATCTCATGCCCACTGAAGATATGAGTAGTGGGGTATTTTATATGCCTAGGCACGTACACCTAACACTGTAAAATGTCTTGACAAGAGACATTCCAAAAGAGAGATTTGTTTTCATTTCATTGTTTCTAAAGAGATGTGTTTTCCATGCTGCACTCAGCTTGCAAAGCAATCTTGTCTGTGGAGGCTTCCTGAAAAGGAAGATGACTGGACTGCCGTAAAATATCTTATAAACACTATAACGAAAACTCCAACACACTCTAGTGGGGTTTGCTTGATAAAATCCTTACACATTGTATATTTTCATGAGGATATGCTAATTTTCAAATTAGAATTTCTAACTTTGTGATTTTTGCCATGTATGATGGCACACACCTGTTCCCACAGAAGGAGTGGAGGTAGGAGAATAAAGAGTTCAGGGACCGTCTCAACTAATATATTTATTTATATCTTTGTTCAAATAGGAAACAATAAAAAAGTTGAGTAAATATATTTTATTCATGACTAAGTCAATTTCATTTTATCAGAAATATAGATATCTTTAAAAATATGTTACTATCCACTTTTATTAATCATAAATTTTAGTGAATCACTACTTTTTTCTAATTTCCCCTTCTGCTTACAAACCAAGAAATAAATATTTTTAGAATTCACTATCAAATTAGCCTTCTAGTCACTTCTCTCTGTACTTTAGGACCTTCACTTGACTTCCAATATTATAGTTTAGTTTGCTTGTTTTTTAAAAGACGTGTACTTTGAACACAATGATGCAAGCTTACTCCTATGCACAAATCATCTAGAAACTCCCTTCTTGTACTGTGTATCTGAGTGGTTTAAATAGACACTTCCTGTGGTCAGTGGGTAAGAAATTCTGGGTGGCTTGAACGTCATGGTTGACTGTCCCATTTTCAGCCCTGGGGCTTGGCTTAGAACGGATGGTAACAATCATCTCAAAGAGAGGCAGATAAACAAGGACACAGCATTGCAAGCAGATGAACCCAGTGGTGCTTTCTAGAGTTTCCTTGCTTAGTTTTTTTTTGTTAGCATTGAGTTTTCTGCTTGAGGCTTTCGCTAATCTACATGTGAAAGTTTACTCTTAAGTATAATTGTTGGGGAAAGACGAGAACAAGGGATACATATTTGAGTGTGATGGTTGTAGTGTAAAAAATTTTAACTTGGATTAAGAATGACTCCCATGGACATTTATTTGGAAACAGTACATCTACCATTTCTGATGTGGGCTAAGTCTTTTATTAAACAATATAACAGAATTGTACTTTAGGAAGAGATGTAACAGAGGGCTTGAAAAATGAAGGATGGGAAAATGATGTTAGTTCATGTTTATATCAAGACTATAAAAATGTTGTTAGCTTCTTATTTTAAAAAAAATATAGACCAGCAATAGTAGTATTGGAAATTTACCTGTACTGTGGATTTTATTTCCCCATTGTTGATCTTACATAGATAGAATGCAAGTAAAAATCAGAAAACCAAGATTGGTAAAACCCAGAAAATTTACTCAGATCTTGCAAGTTTCATAAACATTCATTACCTTGTGTGGATTGTTGTGCATATATATACAAAACCGTACATAGTTCAATAGCATATATGTGTTTAATCATGACCACATAATGTCTTAATTCATATTACAGAAAATAGTTATTACTAAATATTTTGTTAATCTAAAGAATGGCTTTTTATAGAAAAACAGGGTAAACATAAAAATTTTTACTAATATTTATCAGTTTTTGTGTAAATGATTTGGTTCAATGGAGGAGAATTTAATACATTATATTCTAATTTTAGTATTTGACTCATATGTCTTATTTAATATACATGTGCAGCTATGTAAATATGTATATGTGTATATATGAATTTGTACATGAATGTATATATTTTTAGTAAAGTATTTTGACATTTCATTTTTTTACTGAGGGAAAAGTTGTCATCTTCAATAGTATTTGTATGTAAAGAGAATAATACAAATGTACCCAGCAAAAAGGAATTCCTCCTGTCTCTGAACTTTCTTCCTGGAGCTTAAAATTCTGATATCATTTTTATTAAACAGTCAAGTTCGTTTTTGCGATTAAACCCTTCCATAGAACATTTTAAGAATTCACTAAGGCTGTTCTTTCATCAGCCTTTTCTGGACTTCTTTAAGGTCCTTTAGAAGCAGCCGCCCATTACCTCCCATCCAGATGAGGAAGTATTTGACACAGCTTAAATGCGTGCCCTTCTAATTGAGCACCACATTTTACTTGAACTCTGATATGCTGCCTAGTAGTTTTTAAGTTATACTTTGGGAGCTTAATCCTGTTTTTTTTTTAACAAATGAAAAAAAAATATATCATTTTACACTTTAAAGTCAGTTTGCAGATTTAGTCATGGTTACTCACCAGAGACATTACACAGTAGACTACCATATTTCTGTACTCACACTGAATTAAAAGTACCAAGAGACACTCTTCTCACAAATAACTAAGAAAAAAAATCAAAGCAACAGCCTTCACCTCGTTCAGTCATAGTTTACTCACCTTGGATGAGAAGAAGTGACAGCATATGATTGTCAGATATTGAAGTTTCTTCTGAGCATCTGACCCTGTCTAAGTGACTACTTTATACAAGAGAGATGCCTTCACGGAAGTGTCCAGGTGAATACGACATAACTATAACATATTTTAAATAAAAATATTTACATTCTTTTTGGTTGTTTAGGGTATAAGAATGTTTATAAAGCCAGACTAGAAAAGCTATGCAACTTGTATTTGTAACTGAAAAGTCCCTAATGTATACATTTTCTAAATATTATACTAGTACACTACAGAGGACCTCTAAGCAAATATAAGAACTTCCTGAGTGTGTTGCAGCTATGACTCTTCGCCTCCTGGGTAGCTGAAAATAGTTTAGCTGTGGTGAGTTTGGGTGAGTCTTTGGGTCATCATTGTGAAACATCACAGCAAGATTGGATGATTGATCAGTTCTTGACATCCAAAGTTCAAGCACTTCCATGGATGATCAGTGAGATATCACTGATTCCCTTTCCTGTTTTTTCAGCAAATGCCTACTTTGTTACTCTCTGGGTAGCTGTCTGCCAAGAAACCTTGACAGAAAGAAGAGGGAATGTGACCAGTGAGACAGATTCCCTAACTTAGAAGAAAATGCACACCAGGCCCCAGACAGAAGACTAAGAATCAGTAAGACCCTCGAAAGAGCTCAGTGTACAGACTTTAGACACGAAGCTTCCCTTGGGGAGTGAGTCTTGAACACTCTGCATGTTTCCTTCTTTTTTCACATTCCTTAGGTTTTCCTGAAGCTCACTAGGAAGTCCAGGAGAGCAAGAAATTGTCTCAACCTCCTGAATGCTGAGATTACAGGCATGAGCTGGTATGCCTGGTTTCCAGACAATGGCTATTTATCATTGACTACAATGAGTTTGGAGACTAACTAAGAAAGTGTGTGTGTGTGTGTGTGTGTGTGTGTGTGTGTGTCCACATGAAAACTGTTGTTTGTGAAGGCAATGGGGTGTTATATTCCCCTGGGGCTAGGATTTTAGCCATTGTGAGACACCAGATTTGGGTGCTAGGAACTGAGTTCAACTCCTCTAGAAGAGCAGCAAGCACGCTAACCACTGAACCATCATCTCTCCAGGCCTGGAGGTAGGCTTTTAAAGGACCTTTCTGAACTGTGATATGAGCCTAGCCACTGTTTGGATCTGACTCCAGTCAACAGCTCAGTCACACTCCATGCACATAAAAGGCAGGCCTGACACATTTCGCTGTACAGTGCTAACTATTTCCAGCTACGGAGATACCACCACCTGAAATAACAGCTCTTGCCTGCCTGAGCCATAATGTGACAACGTGGTCTAGGGGAGAAGTAGAGGGTGATTGACAGGGGGAATGCTATATCCTGAAAATAAGAGGCTACTGCAAAAGGTTTTAAAAGGAGTTTAAGCATTGTCACTGACCACGTAGCTGTAGATGCAGAAGGGAAGAATGAAGAGGCACAAGGGAGCTTTGCAAGTGTAGTTGTGGTTGACCATTATCATTGTAACTGCAACAGTGATGTGATTTTGGCAAAGCATGGCCACAGGAAATAATATCAAACTTGAGCCCATGACAATATTTACCCTATAAAAGGAAAGTAAAAATAAACAACAACCACAAAGTTAACCCAATGAACAAGAAACATTCTGTGGACTGTAAATAATACCCACTGTCTCCATGGGATCCTTTAACTGTCTTCTCCTGGAGGACTCAGTGGTGGGCATGGAGATAATGAACAGACAAAGGCTGGAGGAAGATCTGAAAGAATGTCGTGCATAACTATGTGATGTTAGTCATAGTTCCTGACATCAGAGACAAACCCAGGGTTGTAAAAATAGTTTAATGAATGCTCTGATAAAATTTGTCATGTTGCCACTGACTTAAAAAATATGGAACCACTGAACTCACGGTAAAGGAAGTTCTTTACCTCCTTCCTGCGTTCACATTGAATTCCTGTCACCAGGATTGGAACAGAAAAAGTCCAGAACAGGATCTTATAAAAAGCTGTTCAGATCAGATAAAAAGAAATCTAATACCTGGCAAAGACTATTAAAATATGAACTTTGAATTGTAGTCTATTATCAACCCAAGCTTAGCAGTCAGCCATGTGTCTATGCCTTCCCATGATAATTTAGCATGAAGACAACCTTAGATTAAAAATTTATTTTGCAAGCAGAAATGTTGTCTTTCATTTTTAACAATTTACAGTATCTCGTAATTTTATTACTAACTGAAAATAATTTACTATATCATTAATACACAGAAATGCTGTATGTATATATGGTGTGGTGATTAGACAAAGTGAGTTTTCAGTGTGGAAATGGTATTCTAATTCAGGATTACAGGGAACATACCCTTATCAAGGTAGAGTTTTGTCAACAAAGTCAGGAAATAAAGTAAAATCAAGCGAAAATACACCAGCTATTGCTCTTTTATACACAATATTCCCTCGCCATCTCCTAAGGAAATAGAACTCAACATTAGTAAACTATATTGTGCAAGATAAATGTGAAGCTATTTATTCAAAATTTGGAGGGTAAAAGCTGTTTTAAGATTCAGATTTTACAGAGGCAATAGATGAAAATGTCATGTTTAAAAACACTAACCTAGAGGTAGAACTGCCATGGCCACTCAAGACCAGCTTAGGAAAACTAAAGCACCGGACATCATTCTTTGCCTGAATGTTCATAACACACACACTATCAACAATAAGCCTCAAAATGCCACACTGCAGGAACATTTTTATATAGGGAAGGACATACTGTGCTTATCAAGTTTTTTTTTTTTAACAAAGAAAAGGAAAGTCTTAGTTACTGTAAAGAAACAGCACAGCAATTTGCTCTGGGAAGTAATAGGGATTTACTGAAATTGGCTTAAGAAACTTCCTAGGGTATCAAAATAATATGTCTTTAACCAGTAGTTGCCAAACTCATTGAGTATTAGGTTAAGATTGTGAGTTTATAATAAATAAATATTACCTCAAAGAAAAATTGTAAATAGGTTTTGAAACTAGACATTGGTAAGCAGCTCTAGGACTGAGGGAATTCTGTTGACATAGAGAAATTATTCTGAAATCTGTAAAATGTAAGATGTGTCGATGAATCAATAGTGAGAGGAGAGATGGATACACTTGTGATAGCGAGATGAAGGGCAGTGATGATTATAAAGTCTGCAGGTTGTCCTCAATATTGTATCAGTCACTAAAACTTTTAAAGCAGCTAAATTAAAATAAATGTTTACTAATCATCTAGTTCTAGTATTTTTAAATGCTATGTAAGACAAAATGAATAGAAATTTAAAAATTGTTAATTTTGGTTTTTAAATTCAATTACTTTACATGAAAGCCTGGCTTAAACCTTTGTCCCTAGTTATTTGTCTCGGGGTATTAGACAGTAGAGTGAACTGGGAAATACACTGAAATCAAGCTGATAATTAATTCCAACATTTTTAAAATCATTTTAGTTCCTTTTTAGTATAATATCTCTGTTTTCAGTTAACAATACTTTTGACACTTTGTGAAATGCCTGCATACATGCATGCACACATGCACACAGATACACATACACACAAGTGTGCTGAGTAGAGACAAGAGTGTTACTTTACATAGCTCAAGCTTTTTTAAAAAATGTTTTTTTTATTATTTATTATGTGTACAGTGTTCTGCCTGCATGTTCACCTGCAGGCCAGAAGAGGTCACCAGATCATATTACAGGTGGTTGTGAGCCACCATGTGGTTGTTGGGAATTAAACTGAAGATCTTTGGGAGAGCAGTCAATGATCTTAACCTTCAAGTCATCTCTCCAGGCCCCATAGCTCAAGCTTTGAAATAACAAATGGTTTAATTTGGACTTATCAGCTTTATCGCATTTCATTCAGAAACCATTTATTACAGTGTCTTCTAAAATGTATGCAATATGCAATAAATATGTTAGCATAAACATTGACAAGGAATAACACTAAAATGTATTTGAATACAATTTTATTTAAGCAGAGGTAAACATTTGCAATGTTTTCTTCAGAAAATAAACAACCAAAAGAGATGTTTGAGAAGAAATGCTTCGTTTTCATATCTTTTGTGAGCCCTTAGGATTAAATATGATACTTCTTGCAGATATATTTCAGTTTATTTGCACAATTTTCAGGATAACAAGTTTCTTTTGACTTATAAGATGCACAGGAGTCTTCTTGCATATAAGTTTTAAAACCACAAAACCTAAAATGAAAGAAATTACACTGTTATAAATAAACTACATGGCATTCAAATCTACACGATACTACAGAACTATTACCCTACATACACAATTTAAAAATGCAACCTGTGATTTCCAAAACCCGTAATTTATATTGGTAAAATGCTAGTAAACTGCAAATTTATCAACTGCATATGGAATTGTAAATATTAATTAGTATTTCAACTAACGAAAGAGTGAATGGAGAAGGGATGCCAGTTGGTTGTCTGGTTAGAAAGAGAAACTTAAAAAAACTAGTGAGCCTGTGAATAGGGCTCAGAGTTGTATCTTACTGGGGGAGCATGATGCTAGCAAGACCCATACACTACAATTTAAAAAAAAAATAATAGAGCAAAACGAACTTCATAACTCATGTAATTAAAAGTTTCCAGCCGTATAAATATATATTTTGGCACCACAGTGTTTAGTCTCATGGTGAATCAAATATTAAACACAAGAGAACATTAATAACATATTGCAGACGACCTTATATAACGCAGTCATTGCTCTGACAGGCCAGGGGACAGAATGTTAAACTAAGAGCTTTTCTTGAGACTTAGAACTAAAGGACATTGTGTTAAATGAAGGTGTGCCAGCTTATTTCCAGACAAATAAAAGGATTGCCTGATCATCTAGCTAAAGATGTCATTTTCTTAATGTTTGCCTCTCCCTCTTCTGGTAAACTGAGAAGCCTTCCGGATAGGGAGAAGTAGTTAATCCAAATCTGGAAGGAGAGTGTCAAGACAAGTGTGTGAGGATAATGTTTATCTGCCTGGGAACTGTGTTCAGGGTCAGCTCTAGGAACATCGCCCCAGCTGGTGCATTTTATGAAGTGATGGGTGAGCAGAGGACTATTTGCTATTGCTTTTTGTTTTATTATTCAGTTTGTATCGTGCTTTAAAAGTTAAACAGAGAATATAAGCAACTTTTAATGTAAAAAAAGAGTGGCGGGAGCTTTGCCTCCCCAAAAGTTTCTAGCTTGCTTGGGTGGGTTTCAATATGCGTTTGTTGCTGTTGCTTCTTTCCAGAATGAGGAAAGTCTAGCCTATGTCTGTCCCACTTTCAAATATTTCATAGATATTTGATGATTGGATTCATAAATTCACATTGGAGAAGATGTTTGCCTTGTGGTGAGTCCAAGATCTAACCAACTGGAAATTGGTGCTGGGATTGAGTTGATCGCTTTGGTGCTTTTAGAACCACGTACAAATATGTTTGCAAATGAGAAAGCTGTAAAACTCGGGAAGCAAAGAGCAAAGTGTTTAGCATGCTATCCCAACTCCTTACTTCTAGGGCTCAGAATCTGTCTGGAGGTGGTACCCTAAGAAATAACTCTATTAAAATAGGTCATTAGGGTGAGCCCTAGTGTGACTTGGCATCTTCAGAAGAGGGATTAGTGAAAAGGCAGAGAGGAGGGGCTTGCTCTAAGCTGAGGAGGGCTTTGAAAGGTGTACCTGCTGACGTCTTAGGCTCAGACTTCTAGCAAGGAAACTATAAAGAGATAATAAATGCCTTTCATTTATGCCACATAGTTTCCTTTAGTGTATTATGGAAGTTAATAAGAATATTTTCAGGCAAAAATTCCTCTGCACATGAGATAGGTATAAAAGATTGTTTTCTCAGTTCTCTAATGATGTTGAAATTGTATCCACAACCCTCCATTCACACCATAACTAAATTAAACACCTGATGCCATGTGGATACTTACGTCCCAGAGGACAGAACTGAATGGTTTTCCCACTGCCATTGTTTGCTAGTTCCATTATAGTAAACTCCAACCCAAAAGAAAGACTCCAAATGAAAAAAATCCTGAAAGTGAAAAAATGGAACACATAGAGTTCTCATCATTATCTTTTATCAGCTCTATGAGACTGTCTGTGAAAAAGTCAACTCCCTCTGTATATATTTAATGTATGTCGGAAGTCTGCAGTCTCACTAAATGAAGCTGTATTATAAGACACATCACAGAAATTAGAGTAAAAATTTTCTGCTCTCATTGGAGATTTGAAAAATAAACAAAGTGAGTAAAAGTTAAGAAAAAATAAATTAAAAATAAAAATAAAAGCTAAATGAGTAATAGGATAATATTGGTTCTAGATGAAAGAAAATGAGGATATTTTTGATGATTCTTCACAGGTTGCTTGTAGACTAACATTACTCTGGCACCTTCATGTATATAACAAAGATACTCTTTATTGGGGAAATACACAGTAAAGCATACACTTTAACTTGATGCTGACATAATTGCTGGATTGGAAAAAATCATTTGCATTGTCACTTCATATTCTATATGAAGATGTCTACACCATATTCATATTGGACTATGCAGGGTTGTTTTGTTTTTCCTATATCTCTGGCTGAGATATCATTGAATACAAAAGTTTCCCTCTGAATTCATTACATACACACACACACACACACACACACACACACACACACACACATATATATTTCTTGATGGTACTGATGATTGAACTCTAGGCCCCAGATGTAAGACAAATGTTTTACCACTGAGCTACTTTCTTCAACCCCTTATATTCTTCTTTTTTTATTATTTTATTTTGAGAGAGGGTCATGTTAAGTTGTGCAGGCTTGTCCTCAACTCACTCTGTAACCCAAGCAAGTCTTGAATTTGGAATTCACTAGCCTTGAATTCCCAAGGAAATGGGATTATAGGCCTGTGCCACCAGGCCCAGCTTCAATATATTCATCATGAATGAAATTCCAAATATTATTTTACTATTTTTGTCTTTATGAAAAACATAGGTCTACCCTATATTTTGCACATAAAAACTGAAACAAAAGATAGAACAGTTTTACCCTTCAGCTATTGAATTTGTGCAAACCATAAGCAAGGGTAAGTGGCAGTCAGTTTAACCCTGTTGATCCCTCTGGGGATCTTGCACCTTGCAAATCACTTTTAAAGCAACTTACCATCTCCTCTCTGCTTATCCTTATGAGACTGGAATTGAGAGACAAGCAGGCAAGCTGACTCTCTCTCCAGCTTAGCTCTTCCTTGGAGAAGTGATAACAACTGCATCTGAACCAGACCCAGTTCTCTGGGCAGGGATGTTGAAGTCCTAGGGAAGGAATGTCTGTCACTCTCCTGAAAAAGTTCACACATTCTGATGTTGCTTTTTACTTGTTTATAACAATGAACTTGTATACTTAAAATACTGTAATGACATCCTATGAAGACAACTAAATAGTCATATTAAACTCTAGGCTGAAAACACAGACTTTTAACTTTTTCTCTGAATTTTTCCTATTTCATAAATATACATCTGCTGAGACCTATCCATCCTTGCTGCTGAACTGTGAGTTTTCCTAATCTGCGGCTCTTGGAGTGGAAACACCCATTTGCATCATCATTAGATTCTCTTTCTTTCTTTCTTGAAAAGTTTCACTTCCAAAATTTGTTCTCCCATTAATCCTGCTGTCATACGAAACCATGGAACCTTGCAAGATTGTTTATGCTGTATCCAGAGATATAGAATAACACCAACAATATTTGTGTATTACGTTACAATTTGCTGTAGATAAAAACCTCTGTCCCATATTAACGCTAGTTGTTAGATTTCTGGGACCATGTCATTTCTTTTCTTACTTACACCAAGGAGTCTTGCCTGTGAAAACTCTGGGGCTAACACAAACAATAAATGTGTTTTCTTGATTGAATCTGTGCACAAAGGCTAGGAAACCAACACCTACCGTTTTGCTGGGTTGCGGGACTTGTTCTTTCAGAAGATACTACAAAAATAGTCCAAATCATAATTAGCTCTTTCTGTTATAATGATACATAACAGAATTAATATAAGCCCTCTGTTCTAGAATAATGATAAGCAATTTTCTAGAAAATGTTTAAAAGACCGTGGTGGCTTTTTCGGTTGTTGTTTTCTGGTGACGGTACATGCGACCCACCCCAATGTCTCATACACAGTAACAAGTGCTCCAGTTGTGCACACAGCGAAGGAGGAATTTTGATAAGCTGCTGAAAGCCTGGCTCAAAGAAGAAAGAGGAGAAGCACTAGGGACACTCACAGTTTGCAGTAGAAAAAGTCACCACTACAGCTACAGTCATTCAGGAGAAGGCTCATGGCACCAAGGAGAAGAGGGAGAAGGGACACTCACAGTTTGCAGTGGAAACCGTCACTGCTACAGTTGCAGCCATCAGGAGAAGGCACATGGCACCAAGCAAACTAGAGATGAGTCTCCACGGAAAAAGTGAGAAATTCTCTGAGAAAGATAAACCAAACAGTGGGATCTAAGCCAGTTGGCAGCAGCAGTGAGTGAGGTAATGGGACAGCCAGGGTTGCCCCAGGGTCTAATTTCGTCAGCATCACTTACAGGTTATTTTCATCAGCAGAGCATGCCAATACACATTTACTTCCGAATCTCATAGCAAGTCTGTTAAATATCTTTTTCCCAAGGTTTAAAGGAAATAATGGCATGTGAGTAAAAGTGTCTGAACAACAGAAATAATTTAATTACTAAAGGTCATATGACAAACTAGTGTATCCAAGATGTTCCAGGGAATTAGTTTAAATGTTCTTAATTTAAAACAGAATTCAGTACTCAATATAGGAAATACAAATACCACAAGAGAAAATTAAGCCAAAAATCAGTGAATAATTCACAATTTGTATAAAACTGATGTAAGAAGCTTTTTTATTTAGCAGTTATTATTAAAATAATCAATAGAACTGAGCCTGTAATTACTATATTTAGTCTCCAAACCCTACTCTATCACCCTCTGGAGGGTGTGAGTGGGAAACTAAACAAGAATTCAAGTTGAAACCTAGAAGGAAAAAGATTGGTCTAGCTCTGAGTTTCTCCCTGTAAATGTGATTACATTCTGAATTAGGAAGCCAATGAAACATCATTTGACTGATCCATTTTCCCTCCATATTTTTTGACTCTTTTCTTTAACCCAGTGAACATGTTCCACAGTTTACAATGCAAGAATGAGACTTTAGTGGACAGTGCTGAGAATGAGGCTTGGCCCCACTGCCTGCATTTCCCAGTGCATCTGCTGATTAACACAGACTCAGCTCAATGGATTCTACCTTCTCTCTGCAAGCAAATGACCTGGGTCCAATTCACATCCATAATAGACTCTAACTTCACCTTGATCTCCAGTACTACACAGCAGTCCGCTAGCTCTTGGTCAGCTTATCACATCTATTTTTGTTTTGATTTGTTTTGTTTTATTTTGTTGCCAATATTCCATTCCAAATACTCACCAAGGACTGGATGCAATCTTCCCGTAGGAGCATCCGTGAACATCAACAGACTCTAAGTGAGCACTCTATAGAAGCAAGTGTCAAATGCTTATACTTCACTGCAATGGGTTTGTGTTATCTTTTCATATGGGTGTTAGTCAGAGTACCTAAATTCCAATGGAAAACTTCATTTTCTTTTTACTTTCTCTGCTCTGTGTCCTTCACTGGGAATATGCCTGTGTTTAAAGAAATAAGGTAGGACTGAACGAAGGTGGCATTCTGGTTTAGCATTGAGCCACTCAAGTGTTTATTTATGTATTTATTGGAATCTGTGAATTGGCTTCTGCAAATTCCTAAACTTCCTTCCTCTATCTAAGCTTGGTTCTTCCAGATATTTAGGTCTAGAAAAGGCAAGCCTGTGAAAATCAGAGGAGCATTCCAGAAGTAAGCTATAATCTATAGCTACATTGCCTACAAAAATCCTTAACAAATATTTGATTTTATCTTTGCTGATATCCAAATTGTTTTGAGTTTCATGTCTGAAAGAAATACATCTGTCTTTTTTTGTTTGTTTGTTTCAGGATATAACGAGATTAAAGATTCAAGTCTCCCTGGTCTAGAAACCCACCAGCCCAATCAAATTCTCAATGCCCTAAACAAGATTGTAAAATCCAGTACCATAGAGAGCTCCACCCCATCATTATTTTACACTTTAATTCTTAGAACGTTGTAGTCAAGGGAATTCAGTCCCAGCATTTTTCACTTCTCAAAAGTTAATTTTTTCCACTCAAGGCAAAACCAACTCTCACTTAGTGATGTGGGATTCCCCTCTGTATGCTGTGAATACCATAGGTTAATAAGGGGTTGTCCTGGGCCTGTGCAGGAGGTGGGGGTGGGGGGTTAAACTAAACTGAATCCTGGGAGAAAGAAGGCAGAGTCAGGGTAAAGCCATGTAGCTCCACGGGAGACAGACGCTGGAACTTTACCTTCTAAACCACAGCCTCGTGGCAATACACAGATTAATGGATATGGGCTAATCTAAGATATGAGTTAACCAGAAATACACCTAAGCTATTGGCCAAACAGTATTGTAAATAATATAGTTTCTGTGTGATTATTTTGTGGTCTGATCAGCCAGAAACAAACAAGCGGCCTCCAACAACTTAGTGAAATGTTTAAACGATCCAGATCACTCTTTAAATTGTTGTGGTATTGACCATTTGGTCATTCTTATGATCTAGATTAAGTTGATACTTCATTTAACTTGTGTATTTCTAACTAGATTCAAAAAGAAAGAAGCCTTTCTGCCACTAGTACATAACTGTCTCCCTAGTACATAACAAATCTTAATCTCAACCTAAATTTTCAACAGTCGCTCCATGTTCACCAAATACAGTATCATACCTTCACCAGAGATGTCGTCTGCTGTGTTTTTGTGCTTCTTATGTTTTTGGTGCTTTTCCCTCTGCTCAATGAATGAGGATTCATTTGAATGAAATGTATTCTTTACATTTTTCTTTGCTTTGCACTTCTGCTGGGATTTCACATTTAGGGTAGAACAGGTCAGAGGCACTTCATTCATCTTCATAAAGAGAAAAAACTGTGTGGGAGAGAATGCAAATATCAGCATATATAATTTGGGGATATACATTTTAGTAAAAATGAATAAAGCAATTAATTCCAAAAGATTTTGTGTTGAGCAATAGATATGCACATAAGTTTTTTATAAACTCGTGTTTTCAGCTTTAAAGTTTAAAATATATGTAGACATGGTACCAAAATTTTAGAAGCAAATGAAATAAAATAACTTTAGAGAAGTTCAAAGCCATCTTTTGTTGTCTAAAACATTTTGGTACTGAGGCTCTAACCCACCTTCCTAAGCTATGCAAGTGCTTTACCAGTGGGCTGCGTTCCCAGCCCTTGGTCTTTCCAGACAGATTCTCACTGTACAACTAGACAGGCCCGAACTTCTAATTCCCCTGCCTTTATTTCCAAAGAGTGGTGTTCTAGGCATGTGCCTGGCCAAATAAGTTCTTAAATAAGTGTTACTTGGTTGACTATGTAGCTCATTAGTACTGTGCTTAGCATACACAGGTGCTAAATTTTATCTATAGCACCACAAGAAGAGGGAGTGGGCAAGGAAAGAAGGAAGAAAAGTCAGCAGCCGGCCTCTCAAGTCACAATAGCAAGAGAGATGATAAAAGAGTCTTCAGCTGGGACTATGGGCTGTCTCCAGAGCTCAGGAAATGCTGCTTCTTTCTTTGTAATAATATAGATAGCAGCTAGTGACAGAGTTGCTGCTGTAGCTTTAGTCCTGCTACCCCAGAAACAGAATGCTAACGAACTTCCCCCTCAGTTTACCTCGGGACATAGAAGACCTGGACAGGAAGGAAGAAAAAAAAGTAATTCTTGTCTTTAATATAAATTGAAAATAACATCCAGGAGGCAGACGCAGGCAGATTTCTGAATCTGAAGCACTTGGCACTTGGTCTACACAGCAATTTCTAGGCCAACCAGTGCTACATAGTGAAATTCAAAGACAAACAAACAAAAACCAACTCCAAAACTCAAGTTCAAGTGAATCAAAGACCTCAATACAAACACAGTTACACTGAACCTGATAGAAGAGAAAGTGGGAAATATCCTGGAATGTTGGCACAGGAGACAACTTCCAAAACAGAACACCAGCAGCACAGACACAAAGCTTAATAATTAATAAATGGAACCTTATGAAACTAGAAAGCTTCTGTAAGGCCAAGTACACTGTCAATAGGATGAAACGACAGCCTACAGAATGGAAAAAGATTTTCAACAACCCCCATCCTACAGAGGGCTGATATCCAAACTATATAAAGAACTGAAGAAACTAGACATAAAAAAACAAATAATGCCATTAAAAATGAGGTACAGATCTAAGCAGAGAATTCTCAAAAGAAGAATCTCAAATGGCCAAGAAACACTTAAAGAATTGTTCAACATCCTTTGCTATCAAGGAAATTCAAATAAAAACAACTCTGAGATTTCACCTTACACCTGTCAGAATGGCTGAGATCAAAAACACAAATGACAACTTATGCTGGTAAGCAAGGGCAACATTCCTCCATTGCTGGTTGGAGGGCAAACTTGAACAGCCACTTTGTAAATCGATATGACAGTTTCTCAGAAAATTAGGAGTGGATCTACCTCAAGACCTAGCAGTATCACTTTGGGGCATATACTCAAAGGAAACTCAATCACAACACAGGGATACTTGCTCAACTATGTTCATAGCAACTTTATTTGTAATAACCAGAAGCTGTAAACAACTTAAATGGCCCTCAACTGGAAAAATGGATAAAGAAAATGTGGAACATTTACACAATGGAGTATTCTTCTATTGAGAATTCTCTTTTTAGGTCAGTAACAATTTTTAAATTAGATTATTGTGTTTCTTGATGTTTGGTTTCTTGAGTTCTTTATATATATTAGATATCATCTCTCTGTTGGATGTGGGGTTGAAGAACGTTTCCTGTAACTGTAAAGAATAATTATGCTACAACCCACAGACCCAGAGAGCTGGGTAACAAGGAGGGACCAAGGGGGAGATGCATGGATCTCCCTGGGAAGGAGAAATAGAGGCGAATACCTAGTTGGACTGAGGATGTGTGGGCATGGGAACTTGAAAGATTGGGTTGTGGAGTGGGCAGAGAAAGACAGTGCTGACAGAAATGACTGGAAAGGGGGCTTTATGGAGTCGGGTAAAAGCCTGATGCAAAGGAAACTTCCACGAGTCTACAAGGATGGCCCCAATTAAAATCCTGGCAGCAGTGGAAGCATAACCTGAACTGGACACCGCCTGTGATAGGACTGATGACTACACCGGTTGTCATCAGAGAGTTCACATCCATGCCTGATGGAGGCAGATTCAGAGAGCCATAGCCAAACTTTGGACCAGCTTGAGAAATCCTGCTGAGACGAATGAGAGATAGTAGAAAACAGGGGTTAAGAACATCATAGGAAAACTCACAGAAACTACTAGCCTGGCTCGTGGGAACTTACAGAGTCTGAATCAACAACCAGGAAGCCTGCACGAGATTGACATAGATCCTCTGTATACATATGACAGTTGTGGAGCTTGGTCTATATGTGGGAACCCCAGCAACAGGAGCAAGGACTATCACCTTGGCTTTGACTAGCTCTTGGGAACCTATTTCTTATACTGAATTGCCTTGCCCAACCTGAATACAGGGCTTGTACTTGATCTTAAGACAGCTTGATATGTCATGCTTTGTTGAAACCCATGAGAGGTCTGCCTATTTCTGAGCTATTATGGAGGAAGGGTAGATTGGGGGTGAAGGGAGTCATAAGAGTAGTCAGGATGTAAAATAAATTAGGCCTAAAAAATAAAAGAAAAAATTGCACCTACAAAATAAAAAATAGTGGACTGGAGAGATGGCTCAGTGGTTAAGAGCACTGGCTGCTCTTCCAGAGGTCCTAAGTTCAATTCCCAGCAACCATATGGTACCTTACAACCATCTGTAATGAGATCTGGTGCCCTCGTTTGCCCTGCAGGGATACATGCATACAGAACACTGTATAAATAAGTAAACAAATCATTAAAAAATAAAATAAAAAGAAATAAAAAATAGTGCATGAAAATGTTTTTTTTTAAATCTGTATTTTTGGCCAGGCAGTGATGGCTCACACCTTTAATCCTAGCACTCAAGAGACAGAGGCAGGCAGATCTCTGAGTTTGAGGCCAGCCTGGTTTACAACAGCTAGTTCCAGGACAGGTTCCAAAGTTACAGAGAAACCCTGTCTCGAAAAACCAGTAATAATAATAATAATAATAATATAATAATAATGTAATGATAATAATAATAATAATAAATCTGTATTGTTGCTCAAGGAATGTGAATTTCTCATATGAACCAATTATTGAACCCAAGAAAAGTCAGGGATAACTCTAGAAAGAAGTAATCTCCACAGCTCCTAGGCACAACCTTCTTTAAGATCACTGATGCTCATACTGTAAAACTTAGACAATACACCATGTGATTTTCTGTTTATGTGGCTAGAACCCTCAGTGTTACTGGCTGTACCTCCTAGGTACACTTAATAGCCTGTAGTGAGGTCATTGTGAATGATTCTTGTACTAAGTTGGTGTTTAAGGAAGTCTGTACCCCATTGATTTAGCCCATGAAAACAAACAACAACAAAAACAGGCAAGACAGAACAAATATCAAAATATCTAAAATTTTAAGTGAGAAAATTCAATTGCATGCTATCTCCTAATTTTGGCTCTCCACAGCAAAGCAGGCAAACAGGGATCAGATAGCAGTCACTTGTTTGTGACTCAGATTTCGAGATAAGTTTCACTGTGAAAAATTACCATACCTGAAAGTTACTGTACAGAACTGAAGTTGGTGGTGTCCTTCCTTTGGCCTGTCACTAATTTCTGTAGATTGGGAATATGCGTCAAATAAAAAGAAGCCTTGCTTTCTTGTGTACTCTGGTTAATGTTTGTTGTCAATAAAAATTGTCTTAAGTAAGGCTGGGGAGATGACTCAGGAGTTAAGAATCCTGGCTGCTTTTCTAGAAGAACTGAGTTCAATTCCCAACACCCGCACGGTGACTCACAACCCTCTGTAGTTCCTGACTCAAGCTATGGCATTTCCTCTAATAGTCACCTGAGGCACCAGGTACACACATGATGCACATATGTACATGAAGGCAGAATGCTATATATATATGTGTGTATGTATATATATATGTATATATGTATATATATATATATATATAATAAGAAACAATAAAAAATAAAAACATGCTTTAACGGGAATTATTTCCCCAAGAACAAACTATGCTAATTATATGTTCCAAAATGCCAATCAGAAATGATAAACATACCTGAAACAAGGTTGAAATCCCAGGAACTTAGGCTAAAACTTTAATATGTGGTAATCAGCAGAGCGGGGAGTGGGATATGAAGGAGGGAACTGGGAGCTCAGGAGAAAATGTGCCGCTTGCTTGCTCCTGCTTTGCAGTTCACACAGCAGAGTCCTCCCTGACGCTTTGCATTCCCCTTTAGCACCCACAAGGTGGGTGAGAGTCCAGCTGAGAACCCACATGAGAAAACAGCAAGCTGTGGATCTTACAAACAACAGAAAAACATTGGTGAGATCAAATAGATCTTTCCCATAAGCGTCTTTTCGCCAAAATTTTGTTATATTTACATAACAAATAATATAATATATTTATATTATATAAATTTTGCATCTCTGGAGTCAGAGTTTTAACTCATTTGAGTCATAATGACATGAGAAATGTGTGTGTGTGAGTGTGTGAGTGTGTGTGTGTGTGTGTGTGTGTGTGTGTGTGTGTAGGTGGAGACTGTTTATTTGTTTCCCAGTCACCCAGACCCGAAATAATCACACTGAAACTATATTAATTAAAACACTACTTGGCTATTAACTTCGGCTTCTTATTAACCCATTTCTATTATTCTGTATAACTCCACAAGGTTGTGGCTTACTGGGTAAATTTCCATCTGGAATCTGTCTCCTTTGACACCTGCATGATGTCTTTCCTACTCTGCCTTCTTTTCTCCTCTATCTGTGTTTGAAATTCCTGCCTCATTTTTTTCTGTGCTGCCATAGGCCCAAAGCAGATTCTTTATTTATCAATGGAAATAAAACATATTCACAGCATACAGAGGGGAGTCCCACATCTGTATGTGTGTGTGTCTGTGTCTGGGTGTCTGTGTGTGTGTGTGTCTGTGTCTGTGTGTGTCTGTGTATATGTGTGTGTGTGTGTCTGTGTCTGTGTGTGTCTGTGTATATGTGTGTGTGTGTGTCTGTGTGTGTGTCTGTGAGTGTATAGACTCCCCTTAACCTTCCTCTGAACTGAACTCAATTTTAGACAGTTTTCTTCCAGACTATAACTCACTGGCCTTCGTGTTTTTAAAAACATAGACCTTTGAAAACTTGTTTGCGCATTCTTTCTATTTCCTTTTGAGATATAAATCTTCTGCCTATTTCCAGATGTATACCCTAGGAATGTCTCTGTCAATGACTTGGAAGTTATTCCCTCAGGGTTCTGTCATTGAGAAAAAGAGGGGGTCTTTGCATAAATTCAGGAAGCACACCCTGGGAAAGCAGACAGTTACGTAATTAGCTGACCTCCTTAATAATACCCTCTGGGATTTCCCCACTAGTTCACATCAGCTATCTCTGTTGTTTCTGCTTTTTGCTTCAAAAGAATTGAATCCCCTAACCCCCTATTTTAATCACCTCAAACAAGTTCTTCTCCCATCTCATTCTCTCCAGTAGGATTTCTCTCTGACTGTGTATAGATATATACTGTTTATAGAAGCTCTGTCTCTGGCTGTGTGTACTTATACACTATTTGTGGAACCTCTGGCTCACGCTTTGCATTTTTCTGTAAAATTGAATGTTAAGTGATTGAGTTAAAGAAAAGAAAGAAAAAGAAAAGAGGAAAAAAGAAAAACTTTAAAGACTGTTACTCTTTCCAGTCCAGACTTTCAGAATCATTAAGTGTCTTATATCCTAATAATGAGGAGTTCAGACAGACCATGGAGCGGCAAAGACTTTTAGTCCAAGCTCTTCGCTCAGCCCACAAGAAACAGTTCCAGGGAGGGGAGCACACAGGCCTTGTCCCCTTTTCGGGACCTTTTTACACATGTCCTCCCTTTCCTTTTTACTTTTCTTTCTATGTCAGTTACTTTCTAAAAATATGATTTCTTTTCTCCTTATAGCTGAATAATACTTGTGTGTATCTGCATGTGTGCATGGGTGTGTGTCCATTCATCCATCCGCAGACGTAGGCTGATCGTTTAACTCAGCAATTGCGAATAGTTCTATTATAGTATGGGCCTGAAGAAATTGCTACTTGAGTTTTGAGACGCAGGCAACATTTCACCCTCTGCACAATCTTTCAAGTTCCAGTCTAGTCAGGTGAGATTCTCTCCAGGAACTGTCGTGTGCATGCCTGTCACTGGATGGAGAGTTCGCAAAGACTTTCTCCCACTCTCTAACCTGTCTCCTCATTCTGGTGACTGTTTCCCTGTCCATGTAGAAGCTTTTGATTTCATTTTTAATTCTGGCTATGATTTCTTGCACTGTTAGAATCCTATAGCAGGCTACTGCTTGCAATTTTTTTGTCCTAAAGTATTTCTTCCTTGTACCTTTGCAGGACGTTTTCTCATGCATTTATTGACAGTTTGTCCCTTCACTTAGGAGGTACGGAGCTCTTTTAACATCTAAACTTGCAGTCTCACATTTAAGTCTCTGATACATTTAAAGTTTTGTTTTTAACATGGCATTGTGACAACTGAAGCTACAAGAAGTTGTCAAGTGGATCTAGCCTGCCACCTAATGTCTATGTGGAAAATGACTATAGTTATTTTGGAAATCCAACCTTGTGGTGGGAGTACAGCCCTAAGGTCCTTGAGCCCACATTTCTTCAGAAAAATCAGGAATATTAAGCACACAGAATTGTCCTCTCAAAGCAGTGGACATAAAACCTGTTCTCCCATCCAGAAATCTGGGAATTGGAAGTGATTAGCGGCCTGGTCAGGTGCATTTTCTGGTACACCATGTCATATCAAGCTCCTGTGACCAGAATGAGAGGTGACTAGTACATTACAACCAGGGATTCCCCAAGCTCCCACAACCAGGACCTGAGGTGGGTATTAATTTAAATGATCCTCACATTAACTATAGAGCCAGAGACTCCCTCAAAGTACCACAACCAGTACCAGAGATGGCTTATAAAGCAAATGAGCCCTACATTATCTGTACAACCAAGTCTGGACCAGACCCTTCTTTAGGCCGTTAAAATAATACAGGAAGCCTATCTCTAGAATCTATCTTCTTGGAAGAAATAAGATGTAACCTGAGTTTAGTTTCAAAGCATCATGCTTTCTTATGCTTCAGAGACTATATTACACCAGGAAACTTTTTTTTCCAACTTATACTGGGTTTTGTGCTGACTGTAAACAATCTGGCATCTCTGAGGTTTGATCCAGGTTGATGAGGCCAATCTGATCCAAGTTTTCTTTTGCCTCTCTTATGGTTCACTTCTCTACCTGCAGGGTACCCCTCACAGCCTTCTATGCGATAAAGAAAGTTGGGGGGGGGGTCACATATATGCCTTGTAAAATCATCAGTTGGAGTCACTCAGATAGGTAAAAACAGATGATACATGACTTATTTTCCTACAGAAAAATAATCCTGCTGTTGATAAGTCAGCTGAAAGTGCAGAATTATAAGGAAAGCCAGGAAAAGAGATATATTCAATGTGTCCAAGAAAATCCAGTGCCCATGTTCCTCTCCCAAGTCCGCCTTCTCGATCCTGACCTAAGAGACTGAAATAAGCTCTAGCCCATCATTCACCATCATCGTCTGAGCTTCAGTCTCATTCTGTAAGGTTGGGTGACAAGCCAATGACTTAAGGAAGGAACCAGGCCTTTCTATTATGAAAGAATATACAGACAGCTGCTCTATATTTAAGTGAAAAGGTTTGGATGAGAGTCTTAGTTCTGTTCATCGTTAGAAATAAAAACATGCATAAGTATTTCTTTCCTTGTCTGAATTTATAAATTGTAGGGCCTGGGTTTTTCCCCTGCTCCCTGGGGTGCAAGTCTTGGAGGACTGTTTTGGTTAGCCAGCTAAGCTTCCTGCTAATTTCTGTGCTCACTCTGCTATAGCCTGGTGATTTAGCTGTAGGGCTTTGTTTTATCTTTGGTATGGTAATTTCCCACCTGCCCAGGAGAGTTCCTACAGGTGCCAGTTTTTCTCTCTGCTTGGCCCACTGTCTGTTGCTGGTCTCGGCCCCAACCCCCTGCCTGGGAAGGAGTTCCCACACAGCACCCGGTTTCCCCCACCCCCTGGCTGGAAGGGAATTCCTTTACTGGGGCCAAGGTATATTAGCTTTGCATTAAGCTAAATAAAGTGGCATTCGGCTATCTCTTGACGAATGACCCAGGTCTCTTGTGTGTTGTGTCTTTTGTTCAACGTCCAGGCCTTTGCCCAAACTCGTGATTGGTACGAGAGAGTGACGCAGAATTGGGTGGTACAATAAATGGTTAAAAAAAAAACAAAAAAACTAACATCTCCCAAAAACACAGATGTAAAGACTTGCTAGCTCACCTCACCTGTGGCACTGATAGAAACTGGTACTACCTTTAGACAGGGTCCTACTGGTAGAAAGGTGATTGGGGTGCGTCCTGGAAAAAGAGATCTCTTGCTTTGCAGCATTCTAGAATAGCTAAGTAATCTACTTCCACAGCGTGGCTTCGGCTGCCGCGATTAACTGTGATATCAAGGGTCCAAAAGAGGAAATTACTGTATTGTGTGGGTGTGGAGTGGTCTCTGCAAACACTACAGCCATCAGCCTGTCGACTGAGGACAGGGAAGAAGGAAATTCAATTCAGCACAACTCAGTAGCTGGTGTTGGTTTTAACTTTGGGAGTCTCACACTTGTAGTTTATTTTTTGGTATATGTAAGCACAGCACAGTTTGGGGGAAAGTTTCTTAGTAATACTTAACTCAAACTCATGTGCACCACAAAGTTTAAAACATGACTGCATCAAAACTCTTGTGAAGTACAAGTGAAACCTTCCATAAAGATGGGTTCTATAGATCAACTGAGGAAGCAGGCTCAAGGTAAACAAAGAGTCTGAAGTGGATAGGACTGTTGATTGACTGAGATAAACAGGCTCCAGATAAAGCTCTGGGTGAGTCAACGTGGCCTGCCTAACCAGATAACAGAAGTCACCAGGCTATTTACCCCCTCCACTGCTAGCCTTCTGGGCAGAAAACAGATAATATATATCTCTCATTTTAAAGATACAGCCCTGCAGGTTTAACATTCCTGGTTTCCCTGGTGCTTCTGTGAGCACCAGTACCAACACGCCTTCTACATCTCCCCCTTTTTATTTTTTTTTTAGAGAGAAAATAGTTACTGTAATAGAGGATGAATTTGAATACAATGCATACATGGCTAGTCTAACTAATATAGGCAAGCATAAGACAACTATAATAATGCTTATCAGGGGACC